GTTGCAAAAGTGTGCTCTTGACCGATACACAAGCCCATGATCTAGTTTAACTGAAAACCCAGTGCCTTCCAACCTCACCTCAAAATCAGTTTTCAAGCCTAAATCAGTCCTCTCTTGTGAGATTCTGGAATCATTGGCCAACTACATCTGGTTCGAGCATATGTGCTGCAAGGGTGAACTAAGCGTCTCTGCTTGGGGCTGATGTTGGACCTACCACTCATCTCTTATAAAATATGGGTCTAGAAAGACTTCCAGAGTTTGGAGGTTGAGAGAATCTGAACAGATTTGGGCATGCTCTGAAACCCTGGGATGGGGAAGGGGGAGGAAAGTCTTATGACATAGGTATGACCCTGGGATTTGTGAAAACTGGATTTGATGTCAGGCTCTGCCACAGACTGCCTACAGGATTCTCAGCTAGGGCCTGATTTTCAAGACCAACCACCTCTGCATTTGCCGTTGCCTTGCATTAGACATGTAGATGGTCAGAAGCTCTAAAAATCTGATATTTAATTTCTCTACACTTCTGTAAAATGGGACTAACACTCAAAGGTGTGTTATGAAGATAAAGTCTTTCTGGTACGTGAGGCACTTGGGTATCAGAGAATCAGGGATTCATGTCACTACCTAGAGGGACCTGAGCACCAAACAGTGGAGTGTGCACCCAGCATAATCACTCAAGTTTCCTTGAAAGATGGACCTGAACTGCCCTGACCTTTGGGTAAGCTGAGTTTAGGTAGCTTCTAGGACAAGGGTGGGCAAAGTGTGGCCCGCGGGCCACATCCAGCCCACCAGGCCGTTCTATCCAGCCTGCAGGGCCCTTAAAATATTTAGAAAATGAATATTTATCTGCCCCTGGATGCCTGCCATGCAGCCCTCGTTGGCTTGCCAAAACTCAGTAAGCAGCCCTCCGCCTGAAATAATTGCCTGCCCCTGATCTAGGAGCATGATGGGACTGAGGAGCACAGAAGGAGGAGATGGTTCTTAGGAAAAACCCTAGGACTTTGGTGAGGACAAAGTTGTGAGGCAGCCATTTCTGTGCTCAGGGTGCCTTCGGTGGACTGTAAGATGCTGACTGGCCTTACCTGGAAAGCCATCTCCTTTATCAGTAACGTGGACTGAAAAGAATCCTGGAAAGATTCAGTGGAAAGAAAAAAATTAGGACTTCTCTCTTACTCCAGAAACACAATCAGTGGCTGATCCTCAGTCCCAACACTCACCGGTGCTCTGGTTCTCCAGGAGCTTGTGCATGGTGCTGTATGGCCCAGGAGGTATGTTGAGGTTTGTTAGTGTGCCAGCCCCAGGGTTAGCTGCCAGTTCTCCTAAGCTTTTCTCCTTCAGCATCTCATGGGAGGTACTGGGGTGTACGGTGGGGTAGACTTTGCTGCCAACCATACTCTTGGGGAGCCCCTCTGGGCTTGGTAAGCTGAGGCCAGGCTGAGGGAGGGATGACCTGCAACGGATTGGCTCAAAGTGGCAATCGGCGTGGTAGATGCTGTGGACTGATTCTGTGTTGCTGGAAGCACCGTGGAGATTAGGCGTTGAGGGAGGAAGCATTAGCCTGTTGGTGCTATTGTGGAGGGAACTGGTTTCCACATCGCTGATCTCGGGGCTGGCACGTGGTGCCCGCAGGTTCCCATTGCCCATGTGATAGTGATGGTGGTGGTGGTGGTGGTGGTGAATTAGATGGTGCACAGACGATCTTTTCCTTTGACGATGTTTGCAGGGCTGCCTATCAGCCCCGTTCTTATTCCCAGGGCTGGAGAGGAGCCCCATTTTCAACCCTGCTGCTCTATAAGCTTCAACCAGCTGTTTGCTGGCCTTCCGGGTAACATAAACCAAATATTTGAGAAGTTCATCATAGCAGCTCCCTGGCTCTGAAAAACTGGCCAGCGTGCTGGCATTGGACAAGTAACGGACCCGCTGCTCCTTCATCAGCTGACTCTCCCGCTGCTTGGTTTCTGAGAACTGGGTTGCTATGACCACTAAGCAGAGGTTGATCATGAAGAAGGAACCCACCTAAAGGGGAACAAAACATGCTATCAGTCCCGGAGAGAGGCAGAGGCAGGAGCTTCTAAACATGCAAAGCACAGCAGGCATCAAGAACCGAGCCCGCTTGTCCATGGGCAAACCAGCATCACACAGACAACCCCTGTCCCAGAGAGCTCAAAAGATATAGAGAGAAGCGGACAGGTGCATAAACAGATGTGTGTACGGGTTGGGGGTGAGGGCAAAGCGGAGGCGAGGGAAGCCAGTACAAGGACACAGAGTAGGGCAGGGGTGGGCAAAATGCAGCCCGGGGGTCGGATGTGGCCCGCCAGGCCATTCTATCCAGCCTGCGGAGCCCCTAAAAAATTTAGAAAATGAATATTTATCTGCCCTGGGCTGCCTGTCATGCGGCCCTCAATGGCTTGCCAAAACTCAGTAAGCACCCTCTGCTCAAAATAATTGCCTGCGCCTGGAGTAGGGTGTGCTGACGAGGAGCGTTTGCACACACGTTAGAGCATGGAGCCGGGTCACGACTGAAGCTGATGCACAAGAGGCAAAGATGAATCGCTCAGCAAAGTGGGGCAAGGACGGCTATATCAGCAAAGCTGAAAGATCACACTCCTGCTGACTCATTTTGCTGGGTACCGCCTCCCCGAATGCACACCCGGGGGACTCCCACGCCAGGGCTCCAGGGATGACGCCATAGATCAAAGAGGAGGGAAGATTTATTTTGACAAAAAGATTTTGCTTTTTTAAGATCTTGTTTTTCTGTCTCAGCGCTTGTAATTACCACAATTAGTGGCATTAGGATGAATACACTGAGCCCTACTGATAGGAGTGTTTTTCCTGGCAGCATGTGGGTGGCTTGTGAACAGATCCCCTTCTTTGTTAACTGGATTTGTGGGGATATTGTTACCCAGGAACATCAGCTGCCTCCCTCCTAGAACGTGATATTTTATTCCAATTTAAGATACCATTAGGTTCTGCTTTCAGTTGGTTCCCAGCACTGTTCAGCCCGAATTATAAACAACTGGATTTACTCCAGTCTCTGTTAACCTATAAGAAAACCTGGCCGCGTGCTATCAATGCTCCCAGTTCAGCACACAGCAAAGTGCTCTTTCTCCTTTATTCTCCGTACTCTTGGATTCACAAAGGACATTTTGCAGGTCAGGAAAAACTACCACTGTTCATGAAAGGAAGTGTCAAGATGAGTCAGGGAAACAACGTCTTACTTCCACATCGCTGGTTCAGATGCAGCCCAGAGCTGGTAATGACCATAAATCATCACAGTACTGTTTGATGGCTGATATGGCAGGATCTACTAGTCCACGGCCTAGTAGGCTGGAAACCATACTGAAGAAACTCTCCCAGTTGCCATCCTTAATGGGGCATCCAAGGATGGCATGGGACAAGGGAGGCTGAGCTAGACCAACCTTTTGGAAAGTTGGGACTGGGGTTCAGCGACCTTTGAGCAGAGAGGGCTTGTAACTGTATGAAAAATCCAAACGGGGTGTTTTTTGGTTGAGAAGGGAGTGAATTTGGAAGATTTCTGTACCGGAAGAACACAAAAAATTTGGCACCCTTCACCAGCAAAGCAGTCAGTCACTCTTTAAGGTTTTGTTCTTTTTATTTAAAATGCAAGCAGAAGAGGAGGGGCCTAGGGCAAAAGCAGGAGGGAGGATGAGGAGGGTGACCTATTACACTGTAGGAAGAAGTAAGCCCAGCATGGATCAAGAGAACAAACCTTTCCTCCCCTCTTTTCCCCAGCAAAATGCTGCTCCTTGTGTAACTGCAGCAGAAATTTACCCCTTCAGATGAGAGGCATTAACACCTTTCTCCCTTATAACAGAGAGCTGTAAGTCTTGCACCAAGCTGGTTTCAACATTCCCCAGACAGAGCTGACCACCCTACCCAAACCCCTCCCTGCCCATCTGTCCCCCACTCACACCCCACTGTCCTCCCCCGTATGCCTGAGCAAAATGCATGCCATCCTCGGGGAGGGATGAAAGGTCACTCACAATGATCAGCAGGATGAAGTAGATGAAATTGTAGAAGGAGTGTGCGTCCATGACAAAGTACATGATGTCCACCCAGCCCTCCAGCGTGATGACCTGGAAGGGGCAGGAGAAGGAAGAATCAGCTCAGAGGGTGAAAGGCCGGCCTGGCCTCTCATGCAGCTCAATACGCAATCCCCACCGCAGTGGGATCGAGCTGGGCAGCCCACATTTTGCAGCTGTAAAACAACCAGGCCGAGGAGAATGCCATAAGGCAGGTTCAACAGAGTCCTCTCCCCACTTCCTGGACTGCATTACTTTGAAGCAATGTTCTTCCACATATCCCAACCCACTGGTGCATTTTGGGGTGGGATGGGCATGATGTAGAGCAGCCCTGGTGGGGAGGACCCAGAGAGGGTGTAGGGCAGGTTATGAATAGAGGCCTGGGACCAGCATCCTGCACAAGCTGTTTTATTCCACACTTGGTGTATGTCCATCCTGTCCCTGACTGTGGTCTGCTGACTGGCTATAGCAACCCCTCTCTCTAGCCCACCCAGTAGTCCACGCCATTTCCAGAAGATATGAGGCTGAGCTTCTTTCCTAGCCAGGTCCCATCCTCTCTCCTCAGTTTAGTGCTCACTTGAGTGTTTAGTGCTCACTTGAGCTGAGCCAGATGAAAGGACAGCAAATCCAGTTGCTCTTCTGCACCCTGCTTCTAATCTCTACCCTAATCATAATGAGAACAAAGCACCGGAGGAGAAGGAAGTAGGGGTAAGCTCCCTAGACAGGCTCTGGTGAAGGCTCCTCTCTATTGGAGCCCTTCTAGGAATTAGTCTCCCTATGTTTCTGTGTGTACACCAGCAAAGCAATATAGATGGGGACGGGCAGCTTGTGTAGCTCACAGCAGTTGAAGGTTTCTCTTAGGAGTCGCCACAAGCAGAGGTATAAATATACCCGTAACGTGCTCTCCTGAGGCTTAGCTTAGTTCACCCTGAAAGTTAACCAAGGGAAACTACACACAGACACTCTATATGTGTCCACACAAGGAGTGAGGGCAGAACAGCTCCTAGCCTACACTCACAGTCTAGCTTGTTGCACAACCGCTTCCCCATGCAGACAAATCCTAGAAGTTACCGGCAGCCAGCAGCTTATTTCTTTAATGCCACCCAGAGGAGGGTCTCAAGAGTTGACGACACAAAGGAAAGTGAAATGCAAAGACTGAACGGAAAGGAAACTCATGGGTTCAGTAAAGTTGAAGGTCACTTCTGGCCAAAGCACCAGCATGAAGTCCCTACACCTAGGGACACCTGATTCCCAGGTAAGCTTGGGAATTGGATTTCAGTAGTGCCCAGCCCTTTTACAAGGGTGAGCTTTCACCTTAAGTGAAGAAGACTTCTCCACGGGGACATCCAGTTGCCATATGGAAATTCTGTGGGGCTCTGGCATTATTGCACCAGTGCTCGCTGTGGATGTGTCAGCCCCAGAAGCAGCTACTTTTATCATGTTGATCTCTGTGCACACAGGTAGAGAGCAATTTGACCTGCCCTCCCATTATGCTTGTGACTATTAGCAGGGATGGAAATGCTCTGCTTGCTGTGCTCACCTGAAATATTGCAATCCATGCGTAGCCAATGTTATCAAAGTTGATTGCTCCTTTGAAGGGGTTGTGCTCCCCAGCTGAACAGTTGGTATAATACTGGTTCCAGTTGACGCAGGAGGTATTAGTGGTATCATTATAGGAGTAATAGTCTAGGGTGCACTCTAGACCTTCTTCTCTCCGCGTTGGGATGTTGCGGCAGTAGCGCATGCCATTCTCCCGCGGCTGGGAGCAGATGAAGGGGTTCTCGTCCTCGTTCTCTGTCTGGTAGTATCTTTCCAACTCTACTGTATAAGGGCTTAAAGAGACCAGACAATTGGGTTTTGCACACTGACTAAAGGCAACCTGTCAAGATAATCACAACAGTAATAACAGTGCATCTCCAACAATGTGCGTCCAGGATCTCAACGCATCTTACAGAACAGACCTTGCAGCAGCCACCTCCGAGTTCACATTTTTAATCCACTTTAGGAAACCGAGGGCGCTTGTACACGTGACGCCATTCCCATGTACGTGTGACAAAAGTGTCACTTTATGTGGCTTAATGGCGTCACGTGGTACACGTGCAGGCGTTTTGGTGGTTTGAAATCAGTTTGCATCATTGCAAACTAAGCTATGTCCTGATGTAGTTGAGCTTGCAACAGTGCATTGCAGCTATTAGTCAGCTTGCCCCCCAGCTGCAGGAGTGGCAGGCAGGTTCTGCAGGAAAAAAGCATCAGATCCCTTGCTGCTTCCACCTTCAGCAGGCGCCTGGTGAAGGGAGAAGTGGTGAGGGGCCCAATCCCCTTCGTTTTTTTCTGGCGAAGCCTGCCCACCTCTCCCACTGCCAGGGGGCAAGCTGCCAGCGGGCTGAGCAGCCCCCGAGCTGCAGGGGCCCCTGGTCCTTCCCCCTGCAATGGTGGTGCCACCTGGGGCTGCCCGGGCAGGCTGCTAGGGGGCAGAGTGCTGCCTCAGCTTAGAGTTGGGGAAGACTTGGATTGGGCCAGGTGCTGCCTCCGAGCTGGGGCAGCAACCAGCCCACTAGCAGCCCACCCGGGGGGCTCCACTGCCACAGAAGGAAGGACCGGGGCCCACTGGCAGCTCAACTCCCGGCTACAGGAGAGGCAGGCAGGCTCCACCAAAAAAGGATTGGGTCACTGTTACAGGGACAGAAACCCCCAAATTGAAACAGTGGGTTTCAATTAAAAACCCACCGTTTCAATGTAGGGGGCACAGAATGCAACCCTAAATGCCCGTGACATGTACAAGCACCCCAAGGCACTGAGGGGCGAGGGGCTAAGTGACTTGCCCTCAGGCACTGAGCATGTCAGTGGGTAAGAGAGCTCAGGAATCCGGACTCCTAGCAGACAGCCTCTCTTCACCTACTGAAAGGCAAAAAAAAAAAAAAAGAGAGAGAGAGAGAGACCACAGCCTTATAGTCAGCCTAAAACGGTTTCATCCACAGCATCTGAAGAAACTTGAACCTCCTCTTCAATTGCTAGTTAAGCAAAAACCATGAGAAAGACAAAGACAACAAAAAAAAAAAGCAAGGAAGGAAGAGAAAAGAAGTTAGTTAGAGAAGAGAGTCAAATTCTGCTGTGAGGTACAATGGGGTAAATCTGGAGCAACTCCACTCCTGTTACTGAATAGCGACTCCACCCAGAATTACTCCTGGCTTACAGTTGGGGAACCAAAAGCAGAGTTTGGCCTGGTGATGTTAGATCCTTTCCAAAGGGTTTTCACTGCAGTAAGGCAGAAATCCATCTGTTCAGGCCATTTTATCTTCTGCCTTTCCAAAGATGCCAAAAATCCCTGCGCAGTGGCAGAATACAGCACTTAGACTCCGTTCTTCACAAGGCCGGGGTCTCTTGAGGTTCCCTGCTCCAGAGTTACGTCCCGTTTGCTATTCAGTGCGGCAGTTCAAAGTCAGGTGAGATGAAAATTCCCACAAAAGATGGTCCTGAAACAATAAGCAAGTCCACACCACACGCACCGGGGGAGACTAAACAGTCCTTTGGCCAGTTGGAAATGACTACTTCTTGCTCTGCAACTGGCTATCTCCTTAATGCCACCAGGACTCCCTGTAGAGCTTGAAAAGCTATTTTGAAGCCTAGGGTAGCCCAGTTAATTCCTACAGAATTGCCTTTAATACCATTCAAAGCTTAGCTAAACCCCTGGAATCTGGTTCAATTAAACAGCACCCAAACCTGTAGCTACTTTGGATTTACGCAGCAGTTATCAGTTCATTTGCTGGATTACCATTTACCTAAAAGGACTTCCCATGTTATTTTAATTTCCGCTCCCAAGATTGCAGAACCTACAAGAGATGTCACAAATAGTCTGGAGCTGCATGACAGAGGACTAAGGTTGCAATGCTATCTCCTCCCAGCATGGATCTAACAGTTAGATCAGCTGCTGGGAGTCGACAGGCAAAATGAAGTACAGAGATGCAGAGCCTTTGCTCTGTGCCTAGACCCAAACGCCTTTAGCATCAAGTGTCTAGTTAGTTAGTTTGTTTTATATATCTATATAATATATATTATATATATAATATTTTCATTGTGTCTGTTTTCGCTGTTTTGGTCGCTATTGCTCTAAGATGAATAATATGAGAATATAGTTCCTCAGCCTGGGACTTATGACCTTAACATGTAGTGGGCATCTGCCAGGGGGAAGACCAACCTGACTTCCCACCTTATTTAATAATGGAAAGATCTGATTAGATCTGCAGGCTAAATGGGAGTGGGTGTTTTGGAAGGCCTTTATCTACAAGAGGTCAAAGACTATTATACCCTAGGGCAGAGGTTCCCAAACTTTTTCTTATTGAGTACCCCCTTCCAGACCTATCAGCTGCCCAGGTACCCCTGCCAGCATACATTTTATATTTGAACTCCGTAAATGCCAATTATTATTATAATGAAAATTAAATCTGCCATTACATCATTTCTCCTGTATATGCCTCCAGAAATGCCTTGCGTACCCCCAGGGGTATGCATACCACACTTGGGGAACCCCGGGCTAGAGGATAGTTTGAATATCAGTAAGGAACTGGAAGTGTTCATACTGCGGGTGAGCGGCCTAGCCAAGAATAGCAAATTGGAAGTCAGAAAGCCAGATTTGATCACAATGGCGCGTCTGACCTTAAAAGCCACAAACCTATGATAATGAATGGCTCAGGGCAGGGACTGTACCTTCTGTGTGTTACACTAGCCCTACATTGCATTATGCTGTGTACAGTGCCATGATCCTCCTGGGGTCCCTAGGTGCTACTGCCGCTTCAGCACAAATCAACAATAGCAGCTGCTGAACGGGATTCAGATCCTACTGTCTCCACCAATGTAGAAAAGGTCACGTATTAATTATATGCTGAATCTGGAAAGCCTGATCTCTGTCTCTAAGGTTTTTTCTACGGCACCTGTCAATCAGAGCAGCAGCTGAATATCACGCTGCAGTTACAGACAGCACTCAGTGCGCCTGAAATGGCAACTTTTTGTCACAGCCTCCTTTGTTCCCGCTACGCCTCTGGGCGGGAGTTTTTGGCTGTGTTTGGGAATAGGGAATATTTATGAAATGCTGGGGCTTCTTTTAAGGTGACATCATCTCATCTTGCACAGGTTGAGAGTCGAGCAGGGTCAAGGTTACCAGCAGTCCCGGGTGGCAGGGCTGAATGCACTTTCCTGCCAGAAGGTGCTAATGGATGGCCATGTAGGACTTGCTTGATGCATAAGCACTCAGTCTTGTTGAAGGGACAGATGGGATAAATCGCCCTCCTTTGTTCGGCACCTTGAATTGTTGAGGTTCCCTCATATGCACCCGACAGCCGATACCAGGCTCAGCTCCGAAGACCTTGTGGTTCCCAGAAGACCAGCTCTGAGCTGGAGGGGTTTTCCAGATATAAAAGCTCAGGGGGCAATGGCCGGAGGAGAAAACAGTGAAGAAACTGAGAGATGTGAGCAAAACCTAGTAAGAGTAAAAAAAAAAAAAAAAAAAAAGAGCTGCTTCTTGGGACAGGGTATATGCATCTTGCAAGAGCCAGCTGCTCGCATGCAGCCTGTGACCACTTTGGTTCAACAAAGGGAACCCTCCAGGTGTGCCGACATCAGCCCCCAGGGCTCTCGGGGAAGGATGCACTCCTGCGTGAGCCAAGTAGGAAGTGCAGCAGCAAAGCTGCATTGGAGGGCAGTCCACACAGCAGCAATCCAGAACACCAGACAAAGGTATCAGAAGTGGCTCCCTGGAGATGCCCCAGAACCGTTTCACTGTCTCGTTCCCAGGTTTAGGATGTGCAAGCAGCAGCAGGCAGGTGGGGTATGTGAGAGCATGTCACTCACACAAAATGCTAGAGGTGTGGCGTAGCCATGGCCTTGGGATCTACATCCAACAGTCGCTCACCTCCATATGCTAACTGTCCTACTATAGCTGGGCATAGTGGCTTCTGGGGTGATGTCCCCCTAGCATCCCGCTCATGCTCATCTGCCCCCCAGGCACTGATCTTCTGCTTTTCAGACAATCTCAGCTCGCACCGGCTCACCCTGACCTCCATGTAGAGGGGTCTCACATTTACATTACACTTCTATAATCTGGGCAATTACAATTCCTTGCACTACATCAGGATCAGAGGGCAGCATTCCCACCAGATACACAGGTCTCCTTAACAGAGAATGACTGCACAGGTGCCCGCTTTAGTGCCAGAGGTTTATTAGATTGAAGAACCGGTAGTGTATTAAACTCATTTCCCTGCTGATTTAAAAAAAAAAGAAAAGAAAAGAAAAAAAAAAGGCCCCTGCCTCTGAGTCGTGAGCTTTCTCGTGAAAGAACGAGCGTGACGATTCTCGTGACATCCACAATGTGATTCAGTAGCAGAGCAGCTGGCAGTTTTCTTAGGGCCAAGGTGACATGCCACTGAAGTCGGTGACCCCACTTTGACTGGCCTTGATGGAACAACAATGACTCTGACCCCCGGGCACATGCCTACAGCTCTCAGTTGTGGTGGCAGTGCCAGGGGAGGGCCTTTTCTGTACTTACATGCTGAAGTTCTCTGGGAGGAAACAGCGGTTCCTGAGCAGCCCTGCCCATAGCTGGACTCCCACGATACCAAAGATAAAGAAGACAAAGAAACAGAGGAGGAGGACATTCCCCAGCATGGGCAGCGTGTCCAAGAGAAGGGTCACCAGGATGCGCATACCTGAGGCAAAGAAGAAAAGTCGAGTTAAAAGTTCCTTATTCATCCTGTTGTAGCTAACCCCCTCCCTACACTCGGTCCTTGCCAAACCATCCATCAACCCACTCATTGCTGAGCTGCCTTCATTAACCTCCCAATCGTCTTCTCCTCCAGTGTCCTTCTCATCCTCAAGTGACTTCCCCCCATCTGCTGCTCTCTTATTTACCTCTACATTTCTGATGAGGACCTTGGGACTTCCCTCTTCCAGACCTACCTTCCACTTGGCAGCCCGAGCTCCCATAACCACCGTGACACTTGATCTACAAACCATCTGCTTACCTCATAATCCCCACCACACCCCCCGCCTTCTCGAACTCCTCCTTGCTTCCTAAAACTCCTCACTCCCAAATATTCAGCTCAGACTTGACGCCGCCAACTTTGTGCTAGCTGAACTCCAGCGCCAATGCCAAAGCTTTGGAGGTGGCAAAACCCTCCACTCAGCTGGAGGAGCCGGTCCACCTCTGCTGAATGGCACGTGGCTTCTGCAGCCGCCCAGCAGGCAGCGATGGTGCATCTAGACGCCGGCCAAGCCATCGCGCTGGCTGCCACGGACCACGCAGCGGCTGGGGTTATTCCAGAGCGCCCCTTGCACGCTCACAGCTCAGGTGTCGAGTGGAGCTACACAACTATCTGAGCCATGTGGTATCTAGAGAGACCTTTCCTTGGACAGCCTCTTTTAAAATCCCCTTCTCTCCCTAATTCCCCTCGTCTTCTCTACATCCATTTGCCTCCTTAAAATACAGGACTTTCCATGACAGATAATTCATATAAGTTCAGGAACGTTCAGTTCTGTAACAAAGACAAATTGATGGTGACTCCAACTTGACATTTACACACAAAAAATGATTTCACCCGACATGTCTGTAATATTCTGCTCATCTCCCTCTCTCTCTTTCCATCTCCCTCTGCCTCTCACATTGGCTGTCTTGCTTATATTGATTTTTTATTTAAAGAAACCTTTACTGTTGCTTCCTCTACCATGACACCTCAACAAGACTTTTTTCATTGTTATCCGACGTTGTCACCTCCTGTCCGAAGGATCTTCCCTCCTCCCCTCCGCTTTTGGAGAAATGAGGAAATAACCACCATACGCATCTTCTAATTAACTGAAGTGACCTACGCTGGTTCATGCATTTATCATTTTGCAGAACCCTCTCTCTTTTTTCCCCCCGCCTTCCCACCCTATGTTTCTACCCATCGTAGTTATGCTGCACAGGAGATGAGATAAATTACCCAGGATTTGCAAATACATTAAGTGAATTACATCCACAGTTAGACAGCAGAAGATAAATTCAGCCATCCATCAGTTCTGCAGGGGGGAAAAATTACAAACAGGATTCTGAAGCTGCTGTAATGATTAAAACAGCAGCAGCAACAGAAAGCCAGATTAAATTTAATAGACAGGATCAGAAAAATAAATAGAGCCCAGGAATTTCCAGCATTGATAGACAGAGCGGGAGCTGATTACTTCTCGTCAAGGCAACAGGATGGTTCAACAAGCTGGACGTTCTGACTCGCATTTAATTTGGCTAATAATGTTGAATTGGATACACTGGCGTACACATACAGACAAACAGATTTTCTAATGTAGCAGTGCCTGCGTTTAACACACCCATCATCCTTCGAGTTCCTGAGTGAGGTTAAACTTATTACTCGTCTGTCCTGGAGTTTTAGACTGAGGCCCATCCCCACAATCTGAGTGCTTCAGATGTAAAATTGATAGCAATGCATGAGGTCCTTAATGGATGTCACTGAATCCCTGGCACCTCTCCTCATTTAAAAATAAGTTTTTAACATCACTCTGTTTTGCTGGGGGTTGGGAAATAGCTGGGTTGTTCACATTAGGAGCATAATTTATGGTGGAAAAAAAAACCCCTCTCAAAGGGGAAGGCATTCCAGTATTTACCAAAAATAACAGGGATGTGGCGAAGGCATCGTTTCACCTAGCTCTCTGGAAGGCACAAATTATAGATTCTCAACTGGCAGGTCATGGCCACACTGCCCTTCGTATGTGGCCAGAAAAGGAAGAGACCCAATGAGGAAACGGTTGAAAATTGCTCATTTATATTAGTAGAGCCTAATCCAGATATGCTCATGGAGTGACTGAGGGTTCATCTCCATGAGCCTATCTGCTGGCAGAACATTCCTTGGATGTCACCTGGAAAGTGGCAAAAGCTAAACCAAAGAAAAGGGGTATGTGCAGATGTCACATTTAGCTCAACCTGACTAGGGTGAGATTGATCTAATGCCCATTTGTGCAGATATTGGGGGGGTTTAAACTGGGCTAAAAATGGTAGGCCTGATCTAAGTTAGGTCATCTGAGTAGGTGAACTAACTTAGATCAGGAATGGGTTAGCCCAATTTATCGAACACCTATATGCATCTGGAGCACGTCCCTGGGGCCGGGAAAGCCCAGCCACTAGCCCCAGCCCCAGGGGACTATGGTCTTCCTAACCCTCCTGGCTCCGACTGGGCTCTTTTTAGTCCCCCCCGCAACCCACCTACCCCCCAGATGAAGAATGCTTCCCATGCACCCAGCAGCCACTCCTGATCCTACCAATGTTGCCCACCCCCCAGACCTCATTCAACCCTTGGACCAGTATCCCATGGTCCTAATCTACGTGGGAACAAATGATGCGGCTGGGAGCAGTTCAAACCGCATCATGAAGGACTACAAGGCCCTGGGGGCCAAGCTCAAGGA